CTGCTGCTGCTGCTGCTGCTGCTGCTGCTGCTGCTGCTGCTGCTGCTGCTGCTACTGCTGCTGCTGCTGCATGCATGCATGCATGCATACCTGTAGAAAGCGCATGCAAGCAGCATTTTTGGTAATTTGTTTGGGCGCGGAGAAGAGAACTGAAAGTCTCCATGCAGCTCACAATACCTATTAAAAAAAAAATAAAAAAAAAAATAAAAAAAAAATAAAAAAATAAAATAATAAAAAGAAAAGAAAATAAATAAAAAAGAGATATTAAGTAATTATAACAAAAGTATAACAACAAAAATTAAATGAAAGCAGAATAAAATAAAAAAAATAAAAAAATAAAAAAAATAAATATAAAATACAAAAAGGTGCAGCAGGTAAACATAAAGATACAGCAGCAAGAAAAAGATAAAGATAAATAAATAAATAAATAAAATAAATAAATAAATAAATAAAATAAATAAATAAAATAAAATAAATATAGAAATAAATAAGCATATATATCAACCCCCAGATATACATGCAGATGCAGCAGCAACATATATTAACCAGCAGCAGCAGCAGCAGCAGCAACAGCAAGACGAACAGCAGCAGCAACAGCACCACCACCACCACCATCACCACCACCACCACCACTACCACCACCATCAGCAGCAGCAGCAGCATCAGCATCAGCAGCAGCAGCAGCAGCAGCAGCAGCAGCAGCAGCAGACAAACCTCCTAAGGGCCCCAGTAAAAGCAGCAACAAAGACATCGTTGAGGGGTACCCCTGCTGCTGTCTTTATCTTCCGCAGCAAATGTAGGCAAAGAGGAGACGCAGAAGCAATCTGAATATATAAAAAAAAATAAAATATTTTATTTTGGTTTTTTTGTTTTGTTTTGTTTTGTTTTGTTTTGTTTTGTTTTGTTTTATTTTATTTTATTTTGTTTTAGTTTATTTTATTTTGTTTTATTTTGTTTTATTTTATTTTATTTTGTTTTATTTTATTTTATATTTACTTTCTATATATTGTTTTGTACTATGTTTCGTATTTAGTTTTATATATTATTTTATTTTATATTTAATATTTTGTTTTCTATCTGATAATCAGCAGCAGCACAC